TGTTTTTTGCCCCGTACTTGACGAATTCCAGGGTGCGCTGGACGGCACAGATTAGACAATAGAAAGCCGGACAACGGGGAGAGGGACCACAGGTGGGATACACAGTTTGCAGAACAGGTTCCACTTGTCAAATCCTATCTCAATATTTTGTTCCTTTTTATCGGATACACAATTATACAGTTTTCAAGAAAGGGGAATCGGTCAATCAAAGCGATTCCGTACAACACACAGAGAAATGGGTCATTGATGGTTGCGTTTGAATACACTTCCTCTGGAGTGATAATCTGGTGAAATTCACGGGTTATATAAGCACTGGCAGACTGAGTAATATTGTCCATCAGTTCAATACTAAGTTAAGCTCAGTGAGGTCTATGAGGAGTTGCATTTGTACAAAACACTCACTGATAGGTCTATCATACAAAATGCATCGTTATCAAGTTGGTTATTTTCTCACCTAGTCACTGTGTCGTGTCCACTTGCGCAATTCACTTTCAAAATCCAAATCTGACTCATCAAGAGAGTGAGCAAAACATGTTACCGGAACATAAAGTTGGTTGTGCTTCGAAATACAGTCTATTTTCTCAATGATTATGGTTCGGTTTCATCGATTGCTCGCACTCATCCCTGGCCACCGTCTGAGTTGACCCGAATTGACTTTCTTAGAAAACAAATATGGTTATGATCTTCGTCCGGCCTAACGTCCTTAACGTCTGGCTTAACTATTGATTTTTGTATCTGGTTGTCACAATGACAAGTATCCATTGTGGTTTCTTCCAGCTTTACCAATAATCTATGCTACCATCATGCAGTGAATTCAAAGAGATTGGGTCCCTCAATAAATCTTTCGAAACGTTTTCAATGCATCTTCCCCGTTCCGTTCACCCGTGTACTTGAAATAGCTTTTACAATACATCATGTTTAAGTGTCATTCTCAGAATAAACCGATCTACTATAGCCTCAACACATGTAAAACTGTTTGTAAACAGTCATTTATGGCTTTCACCTTGTTGATGTGAGCCACTGGCACGCACGCACACAGAAACAAGTTCTAGCTTGTTTTTGTAACCAATAACTATGGGGACCGAAACTCCAGAAACATGGGCAAACAAGTGACTGGCAAAGATCATCCCAAAGGATCGGTTGGGTTGAAACGGCCTAGGAAATAGTAAAACAATTATGAAGGGTATGCGGTTGGCCGCCAAGACCCGGATTTTCAAAAACGCGGTTTCAGGATTTAATGGGAAACGTTTGATATCTGCAACATTTCCGATCCACGTCGATGCTAAGGTGATCACAGTACCGGGCAACCTACTCACAGTTTAAACAACACACGATATAGCGAACCGTAGACGAGTTTTCAGTGATTCTGTTCTGTCCGACCGGTATAAGGTCCACCATCCGGCCTAGTTTCGCTTGACCATCCTAATTTGGAAATAAACTGATAAAAAAGTAGATGAATCACTTAGCGCATCTTGCGCAGTAATTAAAAGTTACTTCGAAATGGTACCTAGTTAAAACCAGGGTAGTCCTTTTGGGATAAAAATTATACAAGCCTCTTGAGCCTCACTTCCGAGCAACTAAGATGAGATTGGTGGGAAACTGGCTTGGGTAGTTTTCAATATTTTCCCCGTGTTTGAAAAAGTGAACAATTATCTGATGTGAAAATCTAAACAATATTCCCCAACTTCCAATCAGTTAGTTGATCGATGAAACTTGCGAACAGTCCCGATAAGACATTTGAAGTGATCTATAGCTAAGTAAAAGTAGGTTTTTTCAAATTGTTGATTTCATCCAAATAGATCTGATCTGATTCTTGTCACGCAGAACTATTCACGTCTCCAGCATGAGTTCGTCGTGCCAATCTACTAAAGAATTACTCAACCAAAGTCACACACACGAGAAAGCTCTTCTTTATGCAAACTATCTGCGCCATTCCAATGTGCCAGAGGCTTGCACATCGCCATCGAGTAGCACCAGTGGAACAGATCCAAATTTTCGGGGTGGTAGAGAGCTGTTCAAGCTAAATTCCAATCAGTATCGTGTTTCTTATTTGGTTCTAAGTAAAGCAATGATGCTTTTTTTTTATTAAGAATCACTAGCAATCTGTTTACCGCTATTTATCGAACATAGACTTGTGCAAACAACTTTTAGGAAATTCGTACGGGGTGGGGCATGGGTTGTGGCTACTTAGCTACTACCTGGGGAAGCATACACTAAGTGCTTCAGATTGAAGATGATCAAGATTCTCACTACAAATACGCCTCTCCCCACTCTCCCGTCCCCACACACAGACACATAGGCAAGAAAGATGTGAATTGGGGTAGTCAGATCTATCGAACGGCATTCCTTACGTTCCGACTCTAAGTGGCCATTGACATTAAAACTATGATTGATGTGTTTCGGGCTTTGGTCTTTATGCAAATGAATCCGACCGGAGAATTGCTTACGGAATCGGGGAAATACGCAGTTCTGTTATTTTCTACAAATTTCTTTTCAAGGAGTGGATCATCCTGCTCTGCTTGACTAACTATAAATACATTTCTGATGACAGTGTTTGTTGTAATCGTGGCCCACATTGGCTCCAGTTGAAAATCAGACAGCCCAGTTTTAGATCTGATGCACAATGATCGCTCTAAGTGTTTATTCTTACAAGATAGACAGCCTACCTGAACCAGTGACCTCATCTTAACAAACCTAGTGGATTTTCAGGTCTCTGAGTGCCGGTTTCCGTGACCAAACTATACTTCATCCTCCTCCTCCTGCCTCTTGGGAGTGGTTCGCCCCATTGTTCCTCGAAGATAGCTGTGTGCCTTTCCCAATCACGTGAAATCAATTGAAGTCACGTAAGTGCTTTCTGTACCAAAAAGATATGTACATATTAGGCTTACCCATATAACCAACGAAGTACAATAAAAACAGCAACATAATTGTACGAAATCGGTTTATTTTAGAAAGAAAGATTTAATATTTCAGATTGGAAATATTTATTATGGACTAAAAACCTAGTGAAGCTTTTATGATATGCATAACAATTTTGATGCTGTGATGTACTTTAGGATAGGTTTTAGCGGGACTGAGTGGAAGAAGGAAAAACAAAATTACTCAATTAAACCGAGAGAGAGAGCATTTGGGGGTCACAGAAACGAAAATTCGCGTTACCTTTAAAAATGTTCAATATCTTAAAGCATATAAAATTTGCAATCTCAAAAATATTTACTGAGTCTCTTGCTTCGGCATATCTCATTTTAAAAAAATGTTTGTTTACTTTCTTCTTTATTTAGGTAGTATACAAATGTGCGATCAACTTTCAGGCGTCGGTGCTAGCGTACAAAAGCAGTATGGGAAGATGCAGAACTGGGAAAGATAGACATTGATGGAGCGATTCGAGCCGGGGACTTCCGGATCAGCATTTTGAGAATCTTAACCATCTGACCACAGTAACGAGATATCTTAAAGTGACAAGGAAACACCTTAAATTGAAAAGGAAATGATGGCCCTAGGTCTAGCATTACAGCTACGTACCAGTGGTTTGAACGAATTGAGGAAATGAAGTGTTCTATTCAAGATTCTCTACAATGGGGTTCAATGAATCTTTCTGGGCCTTTACTGTTTTGTAATGGTTTCATCAGGAATTCTACTACGTACTGTTGCGTGTTTGTTCTTGACCCGATTGAATAAATTTTGCTAAAGTCTACGTTGGTAAGCCACAGCGAAAAAATAACCCATCTTAGTTCCTGATTAGGCTGTTTCCTTTTCAGTAAACAGGGTGTTAGGACGTTCCACTTAAACACCTCGTAAATTGTTTTGTTTTGATTTTACTTGAAAATGCTAGCAAATTGTCGTTTGCGTTCACTAGTCAGTTTACAATAAGTCAGTGGTAAATTTTGGAAGCGTTTATAACTATTCAACGTTGTTACATGACTTCTATCGATAACAAGGCAATGTTTTCTCATTAACTGCAAGCCCTACAACTGCTGTTCTTATACGCTCCCCCGCTTACTTCCCGGTTTCTTCTTCTCTGTAGCTATGGACAATCATGGAGTTGGCCAACAAAGCCGGTGATGTGAAAGAGATGAGCGATTTACGGACAAATCATTTGAACTTTGTGGTTCGACATCTGGAAGATGCGCTAGCCATGAGACATTTGAGACGAAGACATCGGAAGAACTTGAGTTCCACATCCAGTTACTATCAAAAAATAGTCTCACCAAGCTCAACCAAAGATAGTCCCGATCTGAAAGGTGAGACAGCTCGAATCTCGTAGATAATGCGCAATTATTTTTCAAGTGATTATTTAGGATTCATCTAGTATAGTGAGACGAAGACAGGATTTAAATAACGATTGATACGAATTTGAGTTCGAAACGGTTTCTTATAGGAAATGATATATGTAACTCTAAAAATGTTCTTTCTTGCTGAAGGATGATGTAACACTCCAATGTTTGGACACATTTGCTCCGTAAAAGTAGTATAGGATATGATTTAATTATAGTGTAAATTTTAACGTTTCCAGAGCATTTAAAACGGAGATTCAAAAACTAGAAAGCGCTGGAAAATTGTTTCGGTGAATTTGTCGGTCCAATTGGGGATTGAACCTGGAACCTCACAGGTAGAATGCAAGCGTATAAGCCTTTTGGACACCGTATAGTTGAGTAGACCTTTTTATTAGTTAGATTATACACTATATCATAAAACGCAGGCTTGCAAGCTTGTTGTGGGTATCACACTTCGCTTAACTCAGCACTAGCCTCCAGGATTAAGAATCGATTGAAAAAAATTGATAGGATATTTTTGAAAGTGCTTTGTTCTCCTTCTTTCTTCATCGCTTTTGGAAATACTCACGTCGCAAACAAAGCAATTGAAAAACACCTAATCTACCCGAATAATTGAGAATATAATGTATTCCAGTGGTTATCCTTTCCGGTGCATCAGATCACGGAGGAACTAAAGTCTCTGAAGGATGTAGGGTGTTTGGTTTGGCCCACTTGGTTCCTACAGACAACCCGGCAACCTGGGGGCAAACAGCTGTTCGGCATACTTTGTCGGTCAGCACAAAGAAATGTCTGGGTTGATCAAGCACCTGTTTTGTTGTAAACGTAGTGCGTAAACAAAGCAAAATGATGAATTGCTACAATCCAATGTCGGATCCGACGTCGTGACACCAGGGCTACAATTGTAACACACCACAAAAGTAATCATTACCGGTGAAGTCTATGGACATAAATGAATTGATCTTCAATTCGCATCGAAAGGACCTAAAGTTCACACCGATTGTGAATTGGGTTCAAGAAAAGATAGTACTGAACTGTAACTTCTAATTGGGCACAGGCAGTCTAAATTTCCCAAAACTCGTGCTTAATTTGGGGACCTATCGGAGGGAGGAAAATGGGTGTAAGCTTCACAATGGAAACGATTTACACCCCGAAAAAAATCTAAAAAATTACATGGTGTTCAACTAATCAAGGATGAACATTGTGCAATTCTTTTTGCAAAACGGGAATGAGATTCGGCGAAGCAAATGTTCAATGGTGTTGTCAAACATTTGCCTGAGGCATTCTGTTCACAATACAGAATGATGACTGTGGCTGTAATTTGGCACCATCGGAGATCGGCAAAGACAGGAGTGCATATTGTTCCCGAACTAAATGCGTAAGGAGTCTAATTAGAGTTTGTATGAGTCGAGCACATACAACAGATTGAACAATAGAGTTCAGTTGCCATGGGCATTGAATACTCCGGAAATGCCTCGTGATTCACCTGGGGCGTTATGTGGATAACGAACAAGACTGCCAGATTTCGGCGAGAAGTTCCTTGAGAACCGCGCAAAATGTCATTGCCTTTGTGGCCGATCACGATAAATGTGATTGTTGTACCTAGTCATTGAGACCAGTAACTGACCAGTAATACAACAACCCGACTTGAACCCGAGAAATGATAATGACAGATAGCTAACCACGATCACTCCGAAACGTTTCATTGCTTCCTCCGATTGGCAGCTTCGTATAGAATAACCGATTTACTTAACTCAACACATCTGAAACATCTTGAAATCCATTTTCCGCAAATAAAACACCCTAGGGCCTTGAGAAGCCCATGCACTAAGACAAAAGATACTAATTGCAAATGCTGACCAGTTCCTCCATTATTAGTACAATACGGATATGGAAAAGACAGCATAGCAAATTGTATATATATTTCAGCTCATGCATTTCTGTTCACATTTTGTTCAGATTTCAATTTGCCTCCATATATTATACTGTTTCCTCTACTGCCCCCCCCCTACTCGGATTAAACTCAGATACTCCCTGGTATGCTTCAATCCCACTGACTGTGACACACAGGTCACGTGTCCCCGGACCGAGGCCGTGTTATCCACATTCCAGCAGCTACCTCGTTGGACTTTATTTGATCATAAAAGTATTGTACATATTCAATTCCACTGGACAGTTGTTTCTTACTGCCAGGTTAGCATGAATGTTTATTGCTGCTGAGTGTATGAACTTTTCCGGAAATTTCGTTTTTATATTGTCACTCAAGGACCAATAAGCGCGGGAAACACTAGATTACGGTGTCTAGTTGGCCCATTTATCAACAGTGGGCATCCACTGAGATTAGTGGTGGTGGTGGTGGTGGTGGTGGT